TGTGCCAGTGAATCTTCTAGGCTTTGGGTAAACAGCACAGAACAAAACAGACTAATTCTGTGTGGTCTTGGAGCTTCCATATCTAGTACAGAAGTAAATATAAGCAAATAAAGAATTTCAGGGATAGATCATTGCTATAATTAAAGGAAGAACAGAGTAAGTGGTAGATAGTGGTGGAAATTCAGAAATTAACCTATGTAAGCTTTTCAAGACCCCATACATTTAAATACTCTTCACTGTGGACCATTTGAACCATCCATGTACATTCCTCCATAATTTTCCTATCAGGTAATATTACAATTAACTGGCTCTGTGTCTGTTTTTCTACCTAAAGAGTAAGCTCTTTGAGAGACGGATCCATAGACCTTCATTTGTGTTTAACCTGTGCATAAATGAGTACCAAACCATCCTTCCCACACCACTCTCTACTTCTCTGCTGGAGGCAGAGAAGCAGGACAGACAGACTTTGATAATTCATTGCAATGGCCACGCAGAAGTCAGACACTATATTCACAGTCATGAGATTTATCAGGGAAGTGAATAGGTTACAATGCAGGGTCAGAACATGCTCAGAGCACAGTTCTTCCAGTCAGGACAGCCTCTACTCAGCTGTGCCCACAGGCAGACCTCTCTCTGCCCTGACAATGTTACAAAGTACTTTTAGGGCTGCTGATAAATACTCACAGGGCACACAACTAACTCCACCATAAGCTTCAGCCTGAAGGCACTCAACTTTAGCTTTGTAGGTGAGCAAACCTAAGCCCTCTAAATAAATGTCTTGAGGCACCTCACTCTGCAAGCAAGCCTCCTGCCCAAAGTCACTTAGCTTTACTGCCTCCATTTTCTGGGAAACCCATTGTTTTGTCTAGCACTCTGGTTCTTGGTTCTGCTCCTGCTGCTGCTTCTCTGCCACTCCTCTGGTATCACTGTTTTCTGTCCCTGGATTAAGGAGAGTCAGTGTGCAGGGATATCAGGATCCAAAGTATGTGCTTCACTCCTGGCTCGCTCTTCTTAATGATAGTGAGATACCCCCTTTTACTTCCAAAATGGTTCATTTTATACCTAGCATAATGGTAGCATTGAACAATTGCCTCATTAGGTTTCCATGTGTGTACAATCACAGTCCTGTTAATCACTCACAAGTGAACCATATAATCCAGTAGCATCTTGCCCACCTTTTCTTACCCAGGCCTGTCAGGAGTTTACATAGACTGTAGTTAGAAAAGACATTCAATAACTCACTACACTACAAACAATTTCTAATCCTGTCTTTTAAAAATAATTATTAATTTATTATTGTTATTGTTGAAAACATACCCACCAAAACATATACTAACTCAGTAGTTTCTACATGTATAATTCAGTCACTTTGATTAGTTGTTCAATAATTCTCATCCTCCTTTTCTAATTTGTTCTTCTCCAATTAACATAAACTCACTGACCCTTAAGGTTCTTATCTAAGCATAGGATTAAAGTGCTATTTTCCCTTTGATACCACATAAATAGTTCTTAAAAAACATAATAGTCAATGCCAACAATTTTTGCTAGTGTAAGCAAAAATGTTTAGTTTCAAGAAGATTTCAGAGAATATTTTGGGCTAAAAATCTAAAGATTATTTCAGGCAATAGTTTCAGGGGTTCATTTATCCTCATGTTGAGTTAAGTATTGTTTATATAAATGTATGAGTAAAATGTAAAGTGCTCCTCAGGATCTCTGATTCTATTGGGATCCAAACGCTTCATTTGAAAACAATAAAGAATTAACAAAAAAAGATAAAAAGGGAAAATAATGCAGTAACCAAAAAGATCATTAAGTCTGCCTGTTTGTCATACTGTGATGGCTTACATTTTGCTTTGATTCAGGAAACTATGCCGTGAATATTTAAAACATGAACAGGATTACCCACGGTTTAAACTGAGCTTCCAGACAAAGACAGACTAGGAAGCAGGACAGACAGACTACTTCCTAATACTTATTCACTGAAAACCTAATGAATAGCAGCGGAACACTGTCACCATCAGAATATCAAATACTGAAACGTGATGAGGAGCACCAGAATATTGTCAGATATAGTGCCGGAAGATGAACCCCTCAGGGTGGAAAGCATTCAAAATACAGCCGGGGAAGAACTGCCTTCTCAAAATAGAGTTGGCTGTGATGACGTGAGTGGAGTAAAGACTTCATTTGATGATAGGGCACAATTCAAAATGAAAAACAACAGTTGTAAATATTCATTAATAATTGGAACATGGAACGTACAAAGAATGAATCTAGGAAAATTGGAAATTGTCAAAAATGAAGTGAAACACATATACGTCTATAATCCTAGGCAATAGCTAACTGGAATGGACTGGTATTGGCCATTTTGAATCTGGCAGTTACATGGTTTACTATTCCAGGAATGACACGTTGAAGAGAAATGACGTTGCATTCATCATCAAAAACAACATATCAAGACCTGCCTTGAACTACATTGCTGTCTCTAATAGGCTAATATCCATACACTTATAAGGAAGACCAAGGAGCTCTGGTAGCATAGTAGTTACGGATTGGGCTGCTAACCTCAAGGTCAGAAGTTCGAAACTACCAGCTGTTCCGCAGGAGAAAGATGAGGCGTTCTGCTCCTGTATAGATTTACAGCCTCAGAAACCCTGTACAGGGTCGCTATGGGTCAGAACTGACTCGATGGCACTTAAAAACAACAACAACATCTGTGAAAAGAGACAGTGGAAAAGCTCCATATCATCAATCAAAGCAAGGCCATGGGCAGACTAGAACAGACCATCGATTGCTGTATGCAAGTTCAGGCTGAAGCTGAACAAAATTAAAACAAGTCCACGAGAGTCAAAATATTACCTTAAATCCCACCTGAATTTAGACATCTTCTGAAGAGCTGATTTGATGCTTTAAACACTAAAGACTGAAGACCAGAATTGTTGTGGGATAACATCAAGAACACCATACAGGAAGAAAGCAACAGGTCATTAAGAAGACAAGAAAGAAAAGACCAGAATGAAATCAGAAGAGACTCTGAAACTTGTTCTCATAGGGATGCTAAAGCAAACTAAAGAAATGAGAAGGTAAAAGAGAATAGAAAATTTCAAAAGGCAGTTCAAGAAGACAGAATCAAACATTATAACAAAATATGCAAAGACCTGGAGTTAGAAAACCAAAAGAGAAGGACATATTTCTCAAGCTGAGAGAATTAAAGAAAAAAATGAAGCCTCGACTTGCTGGATTGAAGGATTCTATGTGGAATATATTGAATGATGCAGAAAGCATCAAAAGAATATGGAAGGAATACACAGAGTCACTGTACCAAAAAGAAATGGTCAATATTCAACCATTTCAAGAGATAGCATATGATCAAGAGCTAATGATACTGAAGGAAGAAGTCTAAGATGCATTGAAGGCATTGGCAACAAATAAGACACTGGGATTTGATGGAATACAAATTGAAATCTATTAACACACTTATGGAGCACTGAAGGCACTCACTCATCTATGCCACGAAATTTGGAAGACAGCTGACTGGAAGAGATCCTATCTGTGCCCATTCCAAAGAGAGGTGACTAAACAGAATGCAGAAATCAGCAGACAATATCATTAATATCACATGCAAGTAAACTTTTGCTAAAGATAACACAAAAATGGCTGCACCCCTGCATTGACAGAGAATTCTAGATTTTCAAGGCAGATTCTGAAGAGTAGGTTTAACAAGGAATACCATTGCTGATGTCAGATGGATCTTGGCTGAAAGCAGAGAATACGAGAAAGATGTTTACTTGTGCTTTATTGACTATGTAAAAGCTTTTGATTGTGTGGAACATGGCAAGTTATGGACAACACTATGGAAAATGAGTATTCCAAATACTTAATTGTGCTCATGAGGAACCTATATATAGACAAAGAGGCAGGTTTTGAACAGAACAAAGGAACACTGAATGATATAAATTTATCTAAAGTGTTCACCAGAGTTGTATTCTTTCACCGTACTTGTTCAGTCTATATGCAGAACAAATAATCCAAGAAGCTGGATTATATTAATAAAATCGTGGCAGCAGGATTGGAGGAAGACTCATCAACAACCTGAGATATGCAGATGATACAATCTTGCTGAAAGCAAAGAGGACTTAAAATACTACCTCATGAAAATTGGTATGGGTTGCACCTTAAAGTAAAGAAAACAAAAATCCTCACCCCTGGACCAGTAAACAACATCCAGATAGATGGAGAGAAGATTGAAGTTGTCAAGGACTTCATTTGGCTCGGATCAGCCATCAACACTCATGAAAACAGCTGTCAGGAAATCAAACTATATATTGCATTAGTCAGATACGCTGCATAAGACCTCTTTAAAGTGTTGAAAAGCAAAGATAACAATTTGAGGACTAAAGTGCACCTGAGCCATGGTATTTTCAATAACTTCATATGCTTGTGAAAATTGGACAGTGAGTAAGGAAGACTGTAGAAGAACTGATTCAATTGAATTGCGGTGTTGGAAAAGAATATTAAAAGTACCATGGACTGCCTAAAGAACAAACAAATCTGTGACGAAGTGCAGCCAGAGTGCGCCTTGGAAGCCAGGATGGCCAGGCTTCTCTCATACTTTGGACAGTTTATCAGGAGGGAACAGTCCCTAGAGAAGGATATTGTTTGTTAAAGTGGAGGGTTAGAGAAAAAGATTAAGACCCCCAATGAGATGGATTGGCATACTGGCAACAGAAATGGACTCAAATGTATCAATTATGAGGTTGGTGCAGAACTGGGTAATGTTTCCTTCTGTTGTGCATAGGGTCGCTATGAGTCGGTACCGACTCAATAGCACATAACAACAGTGCATTAATTATGTTTGTTTCAATAGAACATTTCAGACTTCTAAATTTTCCATTATTTTACTGGCATAAATATATTATTCTCCCTTTTCATAACTTTAAAAAGTACATATAAATACAGCATCTTTTAATTTTTATGATTTAAAATTAATTTGTTATTCACAGGTACTACTGAGCGAGTATGCTTGATCCAGGGAACAGTTGAAGCACTGAATGCAGTTCATGGCTTCATTGCAGAAAAAATTCGAGAAATGCCCCAAAATGTGGCCAAGACAGAACCAGTCAGCATTCTCCAACCCCAGACCACGGTTAATCCAGATCGCATCAAACAAGTGAGTGCTTAGTTGGGAAGTCAAAGAAATTTCCACATCTTATTATGAATTCTTTATAAAAGAAACCTTAATATTTTAGTATACAGAGGAATTTTTTCTAAGTATACCTACAACATACCAAAGTTGTCAGTTAATTGTTTAAATACTATTAAAGTCTCCTCTTAATTGATTTATTACTTGATTGAATTATTCATTAGTGTTCATTGAGGAGCAATTGTATGAACCCTTAAAAATTAATTTATTGGCATTTAATTATATTTAAAGTTTGATTACTTTTCAAATAAAGTATAAAAGTTAAAATGAAATTATATCATCAAAATTTCTATTGCCTTAATTTTAGTGATATTTGTAGCCTTCAAAATTATGAATATAAACTCCCATTTTGTTAATTTGTCTTAATATTTTTTGTTTTATCAACAAATATGTATAAGTAAATCTGTGTACTAGAAAGCAATTCTTTGTTATAAGTAAGCTATTATGTTCTATGTAACTTGTGTAGTATTTGCATATGTGTCATAAAGGGCCACATTTTTAATGTGTGAGATCTTCTGTAACAAAAATTTTACTTGACAAAAAGCAATGTGAATTTTTTAAATTGAGTTATGATTGACATGTTGGATTTTGAGGGAAATAGCATCATTTAATGTGAAATAAGATGAATTATTCTCCATAAACTCTTTTCATTTATTGAATTATTTGATTCTTTATATTCATAATTATTGTTTCTGCCTCTGCCGCATTATAATTAATTTCTTAAGTTGTGATCATTATCAATAGACTTTGTCTTCAAAATAAATGTATTTTCATTAATTCCCAGAATATTTGCTTTCTAAAATATTTGTTTTAATAAATTTGAAATGTAGCTTAAAGTCTTATTAATTTCATGTTTCTGAATTGAAAACAAAGTTTTAAGTTAAACAGTGTTATGAATCTATTTTAGTTTTACTAATATATAGACAAATATGAATGCTGACTAATCAAATGTAAACATAGAAGCTAATAATTAGGCAATATTATTTTCAAATTTTAGGCAAATAGTATTTTCTGTTAATTTCCATTTTAAAACCTCCTTCCATGTTTATGCCATGAATATATAGTTGTTACTGCATATAAAATCATTCCTCTCATACTCTATCAGTGCCAATTGTTTTTTTTTAATTTGTTGCCCTCATAATTTGTTAACAAAATATCCCTTAATTTTCACTTGGTAGACAAAAATATAATAAATCCCTAACCACTAGTGGATTTTTTTCTTCTTCAAAGCCATTTACAGTTTTGAAAAGTTTATTTTATCTTTCCCAAACAAAGCATAGTTTCAAGACTGAGGTCTTGGGTGTAATACCATGCCTTGGTTCAGAGTCTAAAACTCGGAATTTAGTTAGAGACTTGTAGATTAAAATCACCTGAATTTACAGAATCAGCAGTGAGGTGGAGAGTCCATTGACTGTGCCGTAGTACAGCCTGCTACTTTTCCTGTCTGTTTTGTAACTTCTATGAGAAAGTGTCAACACTCAGGGAGAGACGTAAATGTATTTATTAAAAAACAAAAACAAAAACAAAAATACATAAAAATGAAATATAATTTGAGTAGTATAATACCACTGCAAGTTTGTTCAAGACAAGACAAATGATTTTTTTAATTATTTTTATAACAAACAGCTGTAAAATTAAATAGTGACATATGAATCAATGTTAAAATTCCAGTTTTCTTTATGGCAATATGAGATTTATAGGCTACTATGTATCCTGTGCTAGCATAGATTTATGCAGAGTGGAATTTGAATTGCTTTCTATTTGGCTTATTTTTCTTTGTCTTGTGTAGGTAATGTTATTTAAGGTCATGATAAGTGTTAAAAAAAAAAAAAAAAGTAACAGTGCTTGGTTCACTTTTGTGCATTTGTATTCATTCCTAAGTCTTGTAGATCATCATGGGTTTAAAATATAATTATTGTTGATTATTTTATATTTTAATATTGTCAATAAAGTATGTGAAATAGTACATTCAAATGAATTTATCAAGAAGTATACTTAATTTAGTAAGGAACTATGTTTAACTCTTAACATACCTTCTTTGCAATTTTTGAAACAGTAAAAATCTGGAGAAGAGGCCAAGCATATTTCTAAGATGTTATAAATAAATTGGGTTTGTTTGATTTATTTTATTTTTTTGTCTTCTAAGTTTGATATTCTCTAAGTTTCTGGAATCCTACTTTACCAGTTTAGTAAGTTTTACCAAATCGGTTTCTAAATAATAGGTCAAGTATTTAAATTTAAAAGACAATGATTTTAGTTCTGAAGAAAATATGCTGATTATAAATATAAAATAATTATGTTTTAAATCAACTATTTTACTATAGAATAGATGAGAAGTAGATCATATGATATTTATATTGTGTTTTATATTATAAAACATAGGACACTAATAATTACTCTTATATACTAGTCTTACTATCTAGTGCCGAGCAATATATATTTGCTTTCAGCTTCAATTCTAAAGTTATTTTTAAATTAATTTCTTTAAATTCTTTCATTAGCAATTTATTTCTGGGCAAGATTGCTCAAAGGAAAAAAAAAAAAGTAGAGGTTTTAAAAATGCTGGAACCAAGAAAAATAAACTTCTGCATAGAAATTAATTTATATTAAGAATTTAATTATGTCTTTTTTTTTCAGTTATTACCTTTGTCCATTTTTTTTTATGATCAGTACTTTAAAGCTTTATTTTAAAAAATATAATTTCTATATAGTTAAAAGTTAAAATAAAAAGTCAAATTTAGTTCTAAACAAGTAAGACTTGCTTAAATTATAAATTGTAATTTTATTCCAATAGGGTTTTAATACAATATTGCATTCTAAATTGAATTGTCTAGTAACGGTGGTAAATGAATAAATTGCATGAACCAAAATACCCTACCCAAAGGAAACATATTCTTATTGATGAATGGGTTCTTAAACAAGTATAGTTTCTTAAATAAAAATAATCCCTACTGGTATGATAACTCTTTTGAAATAGGGGGATTATAAAATATAACATAACAACCCTATATCCACCTTCAGCTATTAAATATAGTAAACTATTAAGTTGTTAGTTTCCAAGCATATTTTTAAGAAAAGCCATATTAGGAAAGGTGGGTAAAGGCCATATACACTTTAAAAATCAAAATAATAGATCAAAAAGACCTTATTTAGCCCAAAGAATTTATTTATTCATCCATTTATCCATTCATTAATTTATTAAATGCCTTCTTAGTGAATTACATTAAGTGGATATAAAAGTATAGTCCTTGTCCTCTAAGACTAGTTTGTGAGGTTACCTAAGTACGTAAAAAAAACACTTACTTCAGTAATTCAAAGAGAAATTAATCTTTGTCAGTTAAAAAAAAAAAA